TCTCTGCTGTGGCCCGGGAGTGCAGTGAAGGATGGCCCAGGTGCTTGGGCCCTGCACCCCATGGGAGACCAGGAAAAGCACCTGGCTCCTGCCATCGGATCAGCGCGGTGCGCCGGCCGCGGCGGCCATTGGAGGGTGAAACAACGGCAAAGGAAGACCTTTCTCTCTGTCTCTCTCTCTCACTGTCCACTCTGCCTGTCAAAAAATTAAAAAAAAAAAGGGGGGGATGCAGGGAGGGGTGGGGGCAAGGGCGTTGGAATGAAGGGGGGATGTTGGCAGAGAAGGCTGCCCTCTGCAGTTGGGCTGATGGAACAGCCCTTTGTTTTGGCTCCATCAGGCAGAGTTCCCAGACTTGTCAGTAGTCTCCCTCACTTGCTCCATGGCACTCTTAGTGTGCTTAATACATTAACTTTCTGAAACAAAATGCACCCGTGAATATTGCATTGCTGGTGAGATGGACATGGACAAAGCAGGCCGAGCCTCCCAAGAACGCTGAAGCACTGAGCAGTGTCTGGGATTGCCGTCTGCTTGTCTGCTTTGGGGGAGCCTGTCACATTCCCTTCGCCATGGCAACAGTCCTGAGCCCGTCAGCCGGGTGGGTGGAATGCCCTCCACAGCAGCACAGATGTCTCAGCTAGGATCCCTCGCCATGCGCAGTGAACACGACCGTTGTGTTGGCCTGTGTCAGAGCAGCCATGGCGACAGGCGGCAGCAGGCAGGGAGCAGGCATGGGTAGCCCTGTGTTCATGGTGTGGAGATGTGGCTCCAGGCTGTGAATGACGCCTGATTGTTTTATGTTGCATGCCTGTCATATGAGGCTCTAACAGAGCAGAAAACAAATGCATATAAATATATATAGTGCATGACAGTGTATGCTGTATGCCAATCCATGCTTTCAAATGACGGCAGTCACATTGTAGTGGTTCTCACAGTTTCATCAGTGGTACCGTCAACACTCAGACATGATTTCATGTGTGCTGAACAGTGTGTTAAGTACATGAAGAGTTACCAAGTAGTCCTCACAGTACTCCTGTGGGTTACCTAGAGTCCTCACAGTACTCCTGTGGGTTACCTAGTGGTCCTCACAGTACTCCTGTGGGTTACCTAGAGTCCTCACAGTACTCCTGTGGGTTACCTAGTGGTCCTCACAGTACTCCTGTGGGTTACTGAGTAGTGTTAATTGCATTCTGTGGCTTATAAATTCATAACAACCTGCAACAAAATGTCTCTAAGGGTAACAGCCACATCCCTTCTGCTTACCTAATTAGTATTATACTGTTTGGACTTTATTACAATTATTATTTATGTAGAATGGCCAATCTTGGAAAAATTAACTTGCATTAATGATCTAATGAGCCGATTGTTTTGGGCTTCTGGGGAGTGAATTGCTAAATGCAACATCTCTGTCTCTCTTTCTCTTTCTTTCTCCGTGCGTCTGTGTGTGTCCCTTGCTGTCACTCTGCATTTAAAATAATCCTGCCTTAAAAACATTAAAGCTCACCACCGAGACAAGTTGTTCATGGGCTCCAATTCTTCCCTCACTCCCCTTTGGCATTCTTTCAGAACAGGGTCAAATTTTAGAGTTCATCATCGTCTCGAGGATAAAATGGGGGATATTTATTAGAAGGCATAAACACTTAAATATCTTGTGTTTTGCATTTACTCTCTATTCTGCATCACCCGTGATGGTCAAGGAGAAAGTGGCATGTATATTGTGCAGTAATAGAAAACATCTGAATGTTTAATTAGGAATCATGACATCTTCAAAACTGCTCAATTTTTCTCCCATTAGATATTTTCTTGCCATGAAATGTAGCCACGAAATACACTTGCTACATCTTCCACAGCTTCTTGAATCATTGTTTTTGATGATTTAGTGGCTGCAGGATCCCAGAGCACCCAGAGCATAAACCCTAGGAGAGAAGTGGCCCCCACACCATGTGGTGCAGTTGCCCGACGGACCCTGGCCTCACCAGTGTTTGGACTGAGGCGTTCCGAGTCTGTTTGTCAGGTCTCTTTGAGCTGAAAGTGGCAGGAAAATGAATCAATTGGGCATAAGACAAAAATGGAATGTATTGACGGAGATGTTCAGAGAAAGATGTATTTAATTTGCTTTGTCATTAGGCACGACTTGCTCGAGGTGTGTGAAGGACGCACTCTAAGGTCCTTCTGCCTCAGTTCTGGCTTTGGAAGCTTCTCTCCCGTCTGGGGGCACTGCTGCCCGGATGCTTGGGGAGACGTCCCCTCTCGCAGCTCTCCCCGAAGCAGGCCAGCTTCCAGCCTCACTGTCTCTCGTGAGCTCGTCTGGCTCCTTCGAGGGCTGTGCTACCCCTTTGCTGTCATGTGTGATGTTGCAGTTCAGCCCTGCAGACTTCTCTGTGTGGGGGTGTCCGCTTGGGACAGTGGGAACTGGGACAAGGGAGGGGTCACAGCCAGAGGCGTGGAGCAGGGAGCCCAGGAGGCCACCAGGCTGTCAGGAGGGGCTGCTGGCGCCACTGAACCCCAGGTGCCTTCAGCTCTCCGGGAGGGTGAGGCTGACCACGGCAGTCCATGGGCAGTGGCCAGGCGGACACACAGGTGCTGCTGTGGCGGGTGAAAGCTCACAGGGACCCTTGCTGTCCACTCCCCGGTTGGGGGGTGGGTCTTCCTGGGGCGCCCCCTGCTCCTCCTGAGAGGTCCCTGTCCGTGAGGCTCCAGTGCTCTCTCTGAGCTCTGTTCTCTGGGGAGATGGGAATAACTGGATCTGGTTGAAGTCCTTCATTTTGCCTGCACACGTGGGTCGCTCACGGTGAAGATGCTCTTTGGCACCGTCTGTGGGGATGCACCCACGGTGTGGGGTGGGCGTTGCCTGGGACTGACCTCAGCCAAGCTTCTGAGTTAAGCTCTGTCCGGGCTGTTGCGCAGTGACTGAGAGAGCGGGTGTGCAGCCTGCACAGGCACGCACCTGCCGTCAGCGCTGTCCGTTACTTAGGTATCTGCTTATGCAAAGTAGTTGACGTCTGTCTTCACGATCCTAATGTAGATGGCTACAGATAGGGAGCAGTGGCCTGTAGGCTCTGGCTAAGGTGCCTGGATTCAGTCCCAGCTTCAGCTGCTGACTGCAGCTTCCTGCTAGTGCACACCCTGGCGGGGGCAGCGCTGATGGCTCCAATACTGGGGCCTGCCCCGTCCACGCGGGCCGGGCTTGAGTTCCTGCTTCCTGGCTGTAGTCCCAGCCCAGCCCCAGCACTTGGGAAATAAGCAGCAGATGGGATCTCTCTCTGTCTGTCTTCAGATAAATAAACAAAATAAAAATAGGCAACTGTAGAAAGAACACTCAATTTTTACTTAAATTTTTGTTGGACTGTTGTAGGTTAAAAGCTTTTAGTTAAATACTCTCCGTGTGTTTGTCATAAACGGCAGAAATACTATCATCAACAGATACCAAAACCATGAATTCAGACGAGCCTCAGAGCCGCTGTTTATTTTTCTCTGGGTGAATTAATTCTCTTAGAACATTTTTACTACACAGCTAATGCATCTGCATTGTGGGAGCATGATGGGGAGCAGAAATAAGCAGGGAGAGGAAGTTAGAAGGCGTTGAAATCGCCACCTCCCACTGCCGGCAGCGGCTCTGGGTTCACACACAGAGCCCACACGCGTTTGAAAGCTGAGCGCCACCGTGCACGCCGCAGAATTCACCAGGCTCGGTGACCATCTCTGTTTGTGAGCCTGTTTTCCTGTAGAGGTTTGATAAAACCAGTGGATAAGAAGATCTGTTCCTGAGGGTAGCTGTTGCCTGGAATATGCCGGTTGACTGAACGTCAGCCTGGATTTGCGGTGGGCCGCGAGGCTTTCTAAAGGGACGAAATCTAAACCTGGCTTGATCGTTTGCTTTGTTTTGTCTTTCACTCTCTGCTAATTCTCGCACGCGGATTTTTGACAGCTGTGTGTGGTGAAGTTTCTGCACGGTCCCCTGTGTGCGTCAGTCCCTGTCCCTGGGCTTCCTCAGCTCCGGTGCAGCTGGAGCCCGTCTGGTCCCGCCCCTTCCTAGTTCACTGCCCACTGCGGTTCTTGCTGGTCCTGCTGCTTCGCCTGTGCTGTGGCCGCCCCTGCCGCCTCTGACGGCTGGAGGAGACCCTGCGTCCTCTGCAGGGCTTCCTCGCTGACTTTGCAAACTCACTTGAGCTGTTTCCATCATCTGAAGGTCTAGAGGCAAGTGCGGGAAGGCTTGACCATAGGAAGAGAGCGTAAACAGACGGCCGCTGCACCCTACAAAGCGTCACCTGTTAGCGTGTACCTGTGGGGACTTGGCCTATGGCCTGTGTTTGGGGCTTTCCAAACCGTGGGCTTCCCTTGCTTGTTGTTAGATACTCGGTTGCCTGTTATAAAGTTGACTTTCGTGATCTTTGAAGATACCACTTTAGGCTGAGGATATGAGACTGACTTCCTCCAAGAAAGTAACGACCAACAGCAGTGGGTACATTGTCACAGCTTGTGCAGACCGGCTAATGGTGCAGTCCATCCCGCGTGTCCTGTAGATTCAGCTGTAGAGGGGTCCGCACCTTGTCCTTTCAGTCTATAAATGCCTGCAGAGGCTTGTCTGGCCCCCACAAAGGAGGTTCTTGGCCACCACATTTAAACCAATTTCGTCTCCTGTCTTTTCACCCTGTTTCCTTTTGATCACTGAGTTCAATTTGCAGATTTATCTACTTCCACTGTTTGTCCAGGAAATGTTTCTCTCCCGGTCTGTAAGCAAACAGGAGGACAGAGAACGTGCCGTGTGTTCTCACCGGGTGCATCCCCTGCCCACAGTACGGTCACTGCCCATGGTAGCCCCGAGCAAGGCTTAAGCAAACCACAGCTGCGTGCATGGTGAATGATTGGCTGCCTGACCAGCGCGAGTGGCAGCGCGGTGGGCTGAAGTGCTTCGCTGGGAGTCGTCTTTGAGGATGGCCCTACTGTATTCTGTTGCTGTACAACAAAACTGCCTTCTGCTCTGATGAGGTCTCACTGTTTAGTCCGGTCCCTGACATTAGCTGGAGGAGGTTGGACGGAAGCCCGTTGCCAGGCAAAGCCCGGTTCAGCAAGTCCCAAGCTCTCCTGGAGATCCCGAACTTCCAGCAAGAAGACGAAGGCGTCTACGAGTGCGCGGCGGGCAACCTGCGAGGAAGAAACCTTGCGAAAGGTCAACTCGTTTTCTACGGTGAGCTAACTTCTAAAAGTGTGCGGAATGTCTGGTGCTGCCCCTTGTAGTACACGCTGACGGTGCTGAGCCTGGACTCGGGGAGGCACACTTCCGCCTCGGATGCCTTGCCGTGATGGCGGGTGGGGGCGGCGTTCAGCCTAGGTGTTCTGCACAGGCTGGTGCTGTCCCAGCTGCTTGGATAAGGCTATACAGCTGATCCCGTGAAGTCACGTGGATCAGCCTGCGGCGCTCCTAGCTGGGAGCGAGCGGATTTTACAAGTGGAGGAGAAGTGACAGGAAGAGGGGTGTCCGAGGGGGGCGTGCAGCAGGGGTTCCTGTTCGGCAGGCCCTGCCCACCCATGCAGAGGTCATGGACAAAGCAGGACGCTGTGTGTCTCAGGTGTTCGAGCCTGCCATGGGCTTGGGAGGTGATGGCTGTGTAGTGTCTACAAGTTCTCTGACGTCTCCCTTCATCCAGGCCAGATACATCCTTGCCTGAAATTTTGTTCTGTTTCACATAAAATAAGCCACACACCTCCTCCAAGTTATGAAAACGTTCTGTGTTTGTCAATAGTAGTTAACCCAGTGCACCTGCATCCAGCATGTTTTAGCAGCGTGTGTTCCACACAGTCAGAGTTACTCCATGTGACATATTTATAGTCAGTGATCAAGTAGCTGAAGCAAATAGCCATTTTCTGGAAAACAAGTGAAGTGTCGGACATCGTACCGACCTCCCAGCAGTGCCGGCTGGGCGTCTGCTGGGGAGACCACGGTGCTCCTTGGTCCTATTATTTCCCATTTCCTTTAGAATTTCCAATTTTAGCCTGAAATGAAAAGTACTATTTTATATACAGTATGTGATTTCCTACCAATTATTCCCCTACAGTTTAAGCAATGAGCCGAGAGAAAAATACTCTTTTCAGTAATATCTACTTGTTACAGCAAAGTCCTTGGAATTCAGCATCATTTGCAAATAAAGTAGTAAGAAAGCAGCATAGAGTTTTCAGGAGAACCAAGATGTTAAAAGGCTTTGGATTGTTTGCCACGGATAATTTTCCGTGTTTCTTTTCAGCGACAGAGATAGAACCCAGAGATGCGCTGGGACACACAGGTGCATACAAACGGGAAACCCACAAAGAGGGATTTCCTCTGCACCCATCCTGCCACCATTAGCTCACAGGGAAACCTGGAAATGGTAACTCGTAGGATTTTTCTGATGATGCTACGAGGCATTATTGAATAACTGTGGGAGATAAATGGGTGAGCACCCTGGATGAGCTGCGCAATGGCTGTGGGCCACAGAGGGGCCCCGGAGGCGCCTCTGTCTGGCCTGCTTCCGGCGTGCTGTCCCAGCCCAGTCACGCGGCATGGCCCACCACCTCGTTTGCCAGCTCGTAGTTCCAAGTGGTCCCTGTGGGCAGCGGTGGATAACTGATCAGAAGGACGATCATTGCACCCTCAGTCGCATGCTCACTAATTTGCCAAAGTGCTCCCCAAAGAGAAGAGATTTGGCTTAATCACCTCAGAGCTGAATAATACCTGGTAAACTCAGGGAGTCCCTCAGTTTTGTTATATTACTGGGTTTACATTACAAATCAGAATCACGTAATCTTATACAACTGTCTGTATTGTGTATTTTATAAACCCTGAAAGAAGCCTGTGAGGTACTCTTACCGTGACAGAATACAGAGGATGCTCAGAGAACTGAATTTTAGAAACGGAAATCTAAACTTCGAGCCTGTCTGATAGACCTCAGATCCCAAGTTCTTTCTTGCAAGTGCTCAAATGTCCCTTGTATTTGAAGATTTGAAACTTCACTCTTCAGAATCCTAGACACCAAAGGATGTGCGTGTTTAAAAAGTGTTTTAAAGTTAAGATACTGCACTGAGCAAAAAAAACAGGTACATCTCAGACCATTTAATTATATCTGAGCATATATTCCTTATCCTAGGTCAAACATACATGAGGGACACTTCTAAATAAACGGATAAACTATCTACTACCAAGAAAATGCTGTTAGTAAAACTCAGCGAGGGTTCAGTGTCACCAATACACCCAGTTCCTCTGTCCCTCAAGGACGTTCAGAGACTGGGCATTGTCCTGAAGCCACAGAGCTGGCCCGAGACCTCCTCCCGCCCCCCACACCTGGTGACAGCACAGTTCCCCCGACTCTGGAAGGGGCTGCTACCCTAGGGGAGGCGGGGTTTGCAGGGTGAAATGCCCAGGAGACAGGCAGACGTGGGCCTCCTGTGGACACTACTTCACATACGCAATGAGTGCTCTTCTGGTCCCACGGCCGAGTGGTGGCCAGCTCAGCAGCGCCCTCTGTGGGTGCCACCTCCAGCACCTCCTGCCTCCTCTCAGCTCCTTTGGCCCCTCAGTCCCTCGGCAGCCCCAGCCTGGAGATGCCTGAGCCTTGGGAGCAGAGGGAATGCCCCCTGCCCGACCCAGGTGCACAGTCACTGACCCTCCTGATTCTTCAAGGGGACAGAGTGAAACGGCCCGGGGGGTGGCCAGCTCAGTCCCTCGCCCTAGGAATCCTCTAGTTTCTGAGCGCGACCTCTGGAGCAGGGCACCTAATATCTGCACAAAACCCCATGGCAGAGGGCAGTGGGAGACCAGGTGCCAGTGAAGCCTCTGGCTTGGCCCAGCCTGAGCCTCCAAGGGGAGACCAGGTGCTGGGACGTCCCCGGGGCCTGAGGAGGGTGGGGGCGTGGCCGGCACACCCCGCAGTCTCCAGTCACCTCCATGGGGACGATGCCAGGGTTCAGAGGCATGCGATTCTCACCTGCTTCCCTGGACGATGTAAGGATAACAGCGTGTGTGGGTCACGTCAGCTGTGCCACTGTCCTTTCACCTCATTCTATGCAGAAATTTCTCAGAGGAAAAAATGTGATTTCGAAAAATTTATGACCTGAATTGAAGTTTGCTCCTGAACCTTGATCCAACCCCAGAAGTTCCCGTTCACTGTGAAGCGTTATCTGCAGGACCCTGAACCCTCACCCTATCAGAACGTGACGTGGCTCACGGTGGTTCATGTGTGGTGCTGTGGGGAGTAACAGTGTCCGGTGGAGCCACACGTGGCCGCCGAGGATCTGGGTTTGGGTCACTTTTCCTACTGGACCATGCACTGAAATTTAGTGTGGAATTCTTCTCTGCCCTCTTCTACATTTTGATCTTTGCCACCACTGCCACGTTGTCACAAAGGTGTGGAGATGGCACTTAGCATGAACCAGTGCCCGGTGAGGTGTGTGGCAGGAGTCGCCCACCTGGGAGTGCCTGGGGTTCTACCTTCAGTGCGTGGGTGTGGCCTCGCTGGCCATGAACCTTAGCCTGCCAGGGTCTACAGCCCTTGGAAGGTGGTTTAGTGGCTGATAATTGCCTCGCCTTTTTCTATTCAGCCCCTCCAGAATGGGAACAAAAGATCCAAAACACACACCTCTCCATCTACGACAGCTTGTTCTGGGAGTGCAGAGCCAGTGGAAAGCCGAGCCCGTGGTACACCTGGTTCAAGAACGGGGAGCCCCTCCACCCTGAGGTGAGCAGCTCGTGTTCACAGAAGCACGGGAGGGGCACAGATTTCCTTCACCCTCAAGCAAACAGGGCACCTGCTCTCATTCTCACCTTTCGGTGAGGAGATCAAGTGTAGAGAAGACACGTGTGGCCTGTAGGAGGCCACTCAGTGGGTCAGACGTCCTCATTAATGTCAGCCTCAGCCTCGTCCTGGCTGACTTCATGGAACTTGCGAGGTTTCCAGGCCCTATCCTCAACTTCCTCCGTGCGTTTTCTTGTATTCTTGTAGCGACTTGGAAGAGAGCCACAATTATCCTTTCACATAAGGGGTCGGGGACATCAGACCACAGGCCCCAGAAGGCCCGGGAATCGCTGGGTGTGGTCTTGCCTGGACAACTGCAGGCAGAAGAATGGTGGGGTGCAGAGAGGGCTCCCAGGTCTCCAGCTGGGGACTCAGGCCACCACATTTCAGGCTTCGTGAGCCCCGGTGCTAGAAGGCGGGGCCCCAGCCTCAGCCTGGTGTCCACACCCAACATCAGCGCACCAAGGTGACACTAAGGGAGAGTGGAGTGCGCCATGTTATTCTACGACACCCGACAGAGTTAACGTGCATTCTGTGGAGACAGCTACCATTTTTAGAGAAATGGCATAACGTAAAATATATTAAGCACTGAAGTTACGGCAAGTGTACTTCTGTGTTTTGAACTTAAACGGGGCTGGAGTCGGGGTGCAGTGGGTTAAGCTACTTGTGACAGACACCAGCTCTCCCCGTGGGAGTGCAGGTTAGCGTCCTGGTTGCCCCACTTCAGATGCAGCTTCTGGCTTTGCTCATGTGCCTGGGAAGGCAGATGATGACCCAACTGCTTGGGTCCCTGCCACCTGTATGGGAGACCCAGATGGAGTGCTGGCTCCTAGCTTGGCCTGCTCTGTCCCAGCTGTTGCACACTTGGGGAGTGAATCAGCAGATGGAAGATTCTCTCTCTCTCTAATTCCTTCACTTAAATAAACTTTAAAAAAATGAATACCTTACAAAAGCTGGTTGGGACGAGTGCTCCAGTGTCAGATCTCCTGGTGTTGCAGTGTCGCCTAACACGTGGTCTTCATGCCTGTCCTCTGTCAGGAGAGGATTCAGATAGAAAACGGGACGCTCGTCATAACCACGCTCAACGTGTCTGACTCTGCCGTCTACCAGTGCGCTGCAGAAAACAAGCATGGGGTCATCTCCACCAACGCAGAGCTGAGGGTTTTAGGTAAGTCGTTCACCTGTAACCAGCAAGCTGTGACAGACAGAACCTAAACCCACTTCTTTCCCCGAGCTTGCACGCTGCTTTCTCTTGCAACTACGGGCCACGTCTAAACCAGCTTCTGACCGAACTCAGGGTGGCTGCTACTCTGCTTGGGCTTGCGGGAGGGCCCAGGCTCCGGCACAGCCGCCCCAGGAACGTTCCCAGCAGCACCTGCTTCAGCAAGGGTAGACCGTCACAATCTGCAGTGACGTCGGGGCACCCATGGATATTCCCTCTTCACAAGAGGGGCCCCGTGACTTGGCGTGAGAAGAGTCAGATCTGAAACATGGCGGTTCCATCGTCAAGTGGGCGGTTGCCGGCAGCTCGCGTGGTGAACGTCCTCTGCTCTGAGGACGCAGCAGATGTCCCTGCAGGCCGGCTGAAGGGCACAGCGGGGCCTGGGCAGGCTGGTGCTGGGGGGCGTGGCCTGTCTGCAGGTCAGCTCCTGGAACGGCAGCGCAGGGTCAGGGATGGAGGCAGGATGCTGTGTCCCGCGTGCACAGCCGTGGGAGGACTCGGGTGCACCCGGCGGTGTACACACCCTCCCCCGCCTGAATTCCACTGTGCCCAGCAGTTACGGAGCGGGCACAGGGCTGAGCCTCCCTGTGTACTCCGCCTCTGCGGAGGACAGACTGCACTTTGATCGAAGGTGACCTAGAGGAACGTGTGGGGCTTCTGTGGTTACTTCTCCCACTGTGAAGGTTCTGGTCCTAGTGGGCTGTCTGGCCCGTGGGCCTACATAGCCTGCAGGGCGCGTGCTCTGGCCTTGCCAAGGCAGACACAGGCGGGACTCAGCGTCCCACCAGTCTGCGTGGGCTGCTTTTTAAGTGGGTAATTTTTAGTGGACTGCAAGTGGTGCTGTAAATGTCCACCTGGCCCTTGTCAGAAAAAGGGTATCTAACCCTGATTAGGATTGTGATGCGGACGGGGGTATTCCTTCTGCCCAGAGTTGACATCCTCTGGGACAGTCCCCTCACCTGCTGCAGGAGCGAGCTTCTCACTAACGTGCTTCCTCCCTCCTTACGTCCACCAGCAGCCCCCAGCGGACTAGCCCAGGGAGCACACCGCATGCCACACACACCGCGTACCACACACTCCGCGCGATAGGCTTTGACAGCCGAGTGTCATCGGTGCCCCCCAACTGCATGAGCTGATCGCTGCTGTCCACTTCACATCGCAGAGGGAAGCAGACCCTAGCAGGCTGGCTCAGGGACCCGCTGCTGGCTTGCGGTGGTGCTGGTTGTTCCTACAAGAGTGCACCCGGGGTCCCAGTTACTGCTTTAGTTGGCGGCTGTTTTACTAGTGAGTAACGTAACATTTGTAAACTTTGTTGTTAGCCTCGGCTCCAGATTTCTCCAGAAATCCCATCAAGAGACACTCCATTGTTCACGTTGGTGGGGACGTCACCATCGAGTGCAGGCCGAGAGCTTTCCCCAGAGCAACTGTCTCCTGGAGAAGAGGGGCAGAGGGCCTGAGACAGAGCAGGAGGTGAGTGGGCGCCAGGAGACATCTTCCCACGGTGCAGGGTTTACCAGGCCTGCTGAGGCTCTCCTCACGGCAGGTGTTCATGGAACACCGAGACATTGACGTTCCTCGGGGTAGAGAACAGCGGGATCTTGGGACGCTGTGACCTGCTGGCACGTTTGGCTGTCGCATCCTCAGTGCATGCGCCCGTAAATGTGTTTCAGAAACCCACCAAGACCTTTCCTGTATTCACCGTGAAGGCTCCCCCCCGGCCTGCTGAGAAATCAGTGGCGGGAACGTTCCACAGAGGAGGCTCACCTGGGTGCACTCCCCTGGCGTTGCCGATTCCAGAGAGTCGCACGGCCTTCGCCCTGTGGCACAGCGCATTCTCCACAGGGAGAGCGTGGGCAGGGGCCCGACGTGGCTGCAGCTGGGGAGCCGGGACAAAGCCGGTGCTCTCCTCCACAGCACACGCTCCGCTCCTCCTGTGTCCAGACGTGACTGCTCAGCCCAGCTCTGCTCGCTGCTGTGCGCCCAGACGTGCACCGCAGAACCAGCAGGGAGGGCCGCTGCTCCGCACACGTGACACGGGCCTTCGTTCAGTGCGGCGTGTGCACAGCTGGCCAGGCGGGTGGCACAACAGCTAGCAGCATGTGCTGGGCAGTGGCAGCTGCCAGTCTGGGAGGAGGGCTGTGACAGGCAGGAGAGTAAGTTTGGCCCCAGCTCGGAATCCCGCCAGCTGCTGTGAGCCGCGGGCATACGCGGCAGGCAGAGCTTGGACATCTCAGGGAAAACCAGGATGTGGGTCGTGAATCCCACGAGCCGGAAACAGGACACCTGGGCTGGATGTGGGGACTCTGCTCTGTCGTTCACAAACTCGAGTGCTTTGTGGCTGAGGAAGAGGGGAAGCTGGGTTAAAACTGGTTAAGGCCCAGGCTGAGTGGCCTGAGTGCGGGTGCCTGGGGGTCAGTCCACACTGACCCACGCATGACAGGACGGAGCGAGCATCCCCTGGTGCCCTCCTGCCTCACCCTGCCTGCCTCCAGGTGCCCTGCCACCCCTGCACCGAGGCTCTCCCCAGGGCAGGACCAAAGCTGCAGCAAACTTCCTGGGAAGGGCTGCGGGCTGTAGAGAAAGCTGGTCCCCGGGAGGTTCCGGGAGGTGAGGACCCACCTGACAACTTCACAGTGCTTCCAAGTAGGAGTGGTTTTTCTCTTGGCCTTGGAGATAGCCATGCAGGAAAATGTGTATTTGCAGTGTCTGCTACAAGCACGGTGCTGTCTGCTTTGAACTGGCGGCACCACCAGCTCTTCTGGCACAGTGTGGGCGGCGGGGCGGCTGGGAGGCCCTCTGCCCGTGGTGCTGACTGTCTGCTCACAGCCAATGCGCACTGCGTGTGTTTGGGGCTTCCGTGAGGTGACAGCCCGTGAGGACAGAGCTTGGCTGGGTGCCCAGTCTGCCATCCCACCTTCGCTTTTCCTCTGTCCTGGGGGGTTGGTTACTGAGGTCAGATTGTGGATCTCCAAGTGGTTGGCGTGTTTCTGGTTAGCCGTGTGCCTTCCTGGGAGCTCTCTGCGTGCACAGCAGCTTTGGGGGGAGGAAATTGAGAACTAAAGATAGGCAGAGGCGTGGCCCAGTCCGAGGCTGCTTGGTTTCCGGTTGGGAACATGGCCACGTGACACCTGCCTCACCCTCGCTGGGCTCAGCAGTGCCACGAAAACTGAGAACAGCTTGGAAGGGCCCCGTGGGCAAAGCCAGCACGCTGTGCAGGGGCCTGGGCGAGGGTCTCCTTGTGGACCTGCAGCATGGCCTCGGGCGAAACCACCAGGCTGCCTGTGGCTTTGAAGTCACTGTTTGTTGGCTGTATGTGAAGGTTAAATGATATGAAAACAACGTTGGGAAAATTAACCACACGTCCATGCTGCACAGACAGCATCAGTAGAAAGCATGACGTGGTACAGTGGGGCTGCGAGCTTGTCTTGGCTGTAACTGTGCGTGCACCTGGGCGATTCGCTCAGTGGACCGGGCGCCTGTGCCAAACGTGACAGTGGCTGAGAACTGAGGACACAGCACACTCCCCGGAGGCCCAGCACCCTGCACAGAGCCGACACCCTGTGCTGTTAGATCAGTGAGTTGAAGCCCACCTGCTGTGACTGAGTTTAGCGACTGCACAGGTAGGCCCACAGCCTCAGTAGCTAATACAGCCGTGGTGTTTATCACTGCACACAGCTGCTCAGCACCCGTTCGACCCAGCTGCTGCGTGCTGAGGTGATAGACCTTCCCCTGCCCTCTGCAACGGCAGCTCTGGGCTCCAGTCCCAGTTCTCCTTCTCGCTCCACGGATAACTTGTAGTCTGTTCTTGAACCACACTGGGTCTCAGTTGGTCACCACGGAGCAAGCGGCTCAGAGCTTGTATTTCCAAGGGGCCTGATGGGACTCAGGTGACATCGCAGTGAAAGGGAGGTGGCCCACCCGTGACCACTGCCCTGGACACCTGCACGCAGACCCCAGCTGTGTAGGCTCGCCCCTGGCAGCCGGAGCAGCACCCCAAGCCTCACTCGGGGACCACGGCCCATGAAGACGGAGCTTCTTGTGTGCGCCGTTCTGAGGCGGTGAGGGAGCCCGCCCACGTCTGCTGAGTGTGATCGGTCACTTCTGTGGATCTGCTTAGCAGGTGAGCCCACAGAACTGAAGTCCCTGATCTGCCTCTAGTGCCAGCGACTGCTGGCTGCCTCGGCAGGGATCAGCTGCCGAGTCACAGGACACGTTAACCCGCGGGACACACAGCGCAGGCCCTGCCCTGGCAGGCATCGTCCAAGACGACCCCCGAACCAGCTGGGCCACGGTGGACTCCAGACAGGAAGAACCAGACGTGGAGGAATTTCATCCTGTGATGGGAGGGAGAGGAGCTGAAGCCATGAAGAAGGCACAGCATTTCTCCCTCACCTCCTTAAAGAAGAAAACCATATCCACGGCATGTCAGGCCAGTTGTCGATAATATTTAAAGTAAGCAGCTGAACCCCTCCTGTGTGCCTGGCAGTCCTGGGAACATGATGGCTCTCTAACAGGGAAGCTCATTTTCCATATTCAGCGCTAGCTTTTTAGTTTTATTTATTTATTTGGCAGGTAAAGAGAGACAGAGAGTGATCTCCTGTCTGCTGGTTTAATCTCCAAATGACTGTGACAGCCAGGCTGAGCCAGGCTGCAGTCAGGAGCTGGCGCTCAGTCCAGGCCTCACATGCGGGTGTCAGGGCCCCCAAGCACTTCCGTCGTCTGCTGCTGCCTCCAGGGTCAGGGTTAACGGGAAGCTGATGGGATTTGGAGGAGGAACTCCATCCCAGGAGCGCCGATACAGGATGGAGACATCTTGAGTGCGAGTTAACCCGCTGGGCCGTGATGCCTGCGTTTCCAAAGATGAGCGATGTCAGAGCGCAGTGTGGACCCTCCGTGGACACCAACTCTGGATGCTCGAGTCCCTGGCACGGAAGAGTCCTGTTCACGCGGACCCTCACAGGCCTGAGGGACTGCAGGTCCAGGTGGGCTGGGACACCTGGCACCGCACGTCTGTGTACTGACCGTGCGACGGAGACGGGACCAGCGGCGTGCGTGGGCCTCGTTTGCTCATCTCACAGTGCTCCACGTGTGGGGCAGTGGTGTGTGCTTGTGTCTGCAGGACTTTGGCCCGTGCTCCCCAAGGGGTAAACTCTGCAAAGGCCCCGCGGAATCCACGCGGAAGCAGCCGCACCCCCTCAGGAATGCTGCTCTCAGGCTGAGGGAGCTCGGAACCAGTTCCACCGCCTGCACCTGCGGCCGCCCTGTGCTGAGCATCTGCGCACAGACCCTGGGGTGCCGCACACGCGTGCGCGCGTAGAAACAGGGGAGCCCGGAAGGTGCCGTGGGGCCATCTTCAGTGGTGCAGTGAGTGGTGCTCCTTCCATATCCTTGCCTCAAGCCCCGGATCAGAAATAGAATAATGTCACTTCTGTCTGCCCGACACTCGAGCAACGGGGGACCTCCCTCTGGGACGCGCTGGTCCAGGAGGGTGACAGCGGAAGCTGACAAAGGGTGAGGGGTGCCTCTGGGAGTCCATCTCCCTCCCACGCACGCCAAGCACCTGCACAGACAGCTGCACCTTCTCCCTGGAGCCCTGTGCAGCCACCGTCCCCCGTGGGGCATCAGCTTCCCGAACACAGGAGACCCAGGCAGGGGGGAGAACAGGCCTGCCTCTCTACCCCTGCCTCCTCCTGGTAGAGCTTCCTAATGGAACAAGTGGGTAAGCCTAACTCTGTTTTGTATCCCCACGCCTTGGTGTAGTGGTGCTCTGCACATCAGGCAGCAGGATCCCAGGCAGATGGGCCATCTGGCCCTGTCTAAGGAGCAGTGACAGCCTGCGTGATGCAGCCTCCCGTCTGTGCAGCTCCCGGTAATACAATTTTCACCTCTTCACTGCCACTCCTCAGAGCCTCGTTAACGGTGAGCCTGTCCAGGGAATCCATGCCAAAGGCGTCAGGAGCCGTCTCACGGAGAGGCCAGCCAGACCCAGGCGTGCCCGTCCGTCTCGCCCTCAGTCCTCGCTGCTGCCGCCCGACCCTGCCCTCTCTCTGCCACCTGCCTGCCTGGCCTGGGGCGCTCCCCTTCAGACACTGTGTCAGCGGCACCTGCCTGCAGGCTCACAGCAGAGGAAGCTCACCTGGAGACCGTCCTGCCTGGGGTGGCCGGGGACGGCGCTGCTCCCCTGTTCCCAACGTGTTGGTCATGCGCAGCCGCATCCCGAGCCCTGACAGAGCAGCCTTGCACGGCACCCTAGCCTGCCTCCCAGGACACAGGGCGGGCGAGCTCTGCGGGAGAGGAGCCGTGAATTCAGTCCGTCCCCAGGCTCGGCCTCGCGTCAGGAGAACCCAGGAGAGGCACAGGCTCTGACTGCATAGCTGTGAGGCCGGGCGAGGAAGCTGCACCTCCTGAGTTCACCGCTTCTGCCGCCAGGGGCAGCGGGGCCGTCACGGGACCTCCACGCCCTCCACCTG